TTTAAGACTTATCAAGATTTGAAAATTTTGAACTATGTTCAAACTAATAAGAATTTTTACAACATTAGAATAATAACGCAGTAAAAATTTTCATTTGATTCTCATTCATATTTTTCATTCGATTCTTTAATTATTTTGATAAGAGCTGGTGTTTGTCATTAAAATATTATCCCATAAACAAGTCTGTTAAAATTTATTTGCGATATGAAAATAATTTAAAAAAACTTTTATTCACTCGTATGTACGAAAAACAGCTTAATTCGATTTGTTTCAAAAAATATAAGCAATACAATAGTTCTATTTTATTACAAATTAGAATTAATATTAATATTAATATTAATACGAATTAATTATACGTATATAAATTAATTATTTTAAATATTAAATTTCTTAATTACTATTTAAGTTATTTAAGTTAAGAATTTATCAATGACATTAAATTTATTGTTCACTTTTTGGGACTTATAATACTCATCAGTTCCTTCGCAAGTATTATCGCTAAAATGAAACATATAACATAATTTATCAAAAAACTCACTTATCTTATCTCTAATATAAAAATAAATATATATATCTATATATTTCTGAATATTCTGATGTAATATTAGAAATTTCGATAATTGCAATTGTATTAATCACCAACATAACCTTAATATTAGTGCAAACAGTAATTTTGCACGTGATGCATCGTAGAAATCTTGTTATGTTAATTAATAACTATTAATGTTTATAAATGTAATACATATATGTAAAAAATATTATAATATATTTAATATTTAGCAACGAAATCTTCGGCGATTAAGAATAGTAAAATTGTGAAATTATTGACTTCAGTTTTGGTTTGTTGAAACTTATTAGCAAAAATGTCTTCACCATTTACTTGTATCACATGCCGTGTAGTATTCAGAGATTTGGAAATACAAAGACAACATTACAAATCAGATTGGCATAGATACAATTTAAAGAGAAAAGTTGCTGAATTACCTCCTGTATCTGTGGAAGAATTTCAAAAGAGAGTGATTGCACAAAGAGCCAAAGATGACAAAGAAAGAGAAGAGGAAATGATAAGTTGTAAGACGTGTAAAAAGAATTTCAGTACAAGAAATCAATATGAAAATCATTTATTATCAAAGAAACATAAGGAGAAATGTGCAAAACAAAATGTTCCTTTTGAAAATGAAAGTAATGATGCTGGTCCAGCATTTGAGTTTGTAATTAAGAAAAATGAAGAAGTTTCCATGAAGCAATTAACAGAAGATATGGAAGTAGATTCTGATATTGAATCTATAAATTCTGACGAATGGATTGAAGATAGTGAAAATCCAGTCAGAAATAATAATTGCTTATTTTGTAATCATCATAGCAGATCATTAGTGCGTAATTTAAAACATATGACAATTGCACATTCATTTTTTATACCAGATCATGAATATTGCATAGATATTAAGGGCTTACTTATATATCTCGGAGAAAAAATTTTTGCTGGATACATGTGCATTTGGTGTAATGATTCTGGTAAGTTAATTTAAACTTTTATTTTTATATTTATGAAAAGATTAACAAAGTAATTATGTTTGGTTAACAAATCAACAGGAAGATCCTTTCAAAGTGTTGAGGCTGCTAGGGCTCATATGATTGATAAAGGTCATTGTAAAATGTTGCATGAAGGAAATGCATTAGCAGAATATGCAGAATTTTATGATTATTCATCCAGTTATCCTGATGCAGAAATTGGTGATCCAGATGCTGAAGTTGAAATACCAGAATTAGATGATAATAACTACCAATTAATATTACCATCAGGAAATATTATTGGTCATAGATCTCTAATGAGATATTATAAGCAGAACTTAAATCCAAATAGAGCAGTTGCAGTATCAAAGAGTATAAAATTACGTAAAATATTGTCACAATACAGAGCTTTAGGATGGCCAGAAACACAGAAAGAGGCTGCTGTAAAGAAAGCCAGAGATATTAAATATATGCAAAGAATACAAGCAAAATATTCTACGCAATTGCAGTTTAAGGCAAATAAGTTGCAAAAACATTTTAGGCCTCAAGTGAATTTTTAAGCTTCTCTATGATGTGTATAAATATTGTGCAAGACTGTATTCTTTTTTAAATTATGTCTTAAATTAAGCCATTCTTAATTAAGTTTCATGTAAAATTTTATTATTGGACATGCTCCTTGCATTAAATATTTATACATTTATTACTAAAATAAAATCGTACTTAATCCAAATTTATATTCAACATTATTTAAAATTATTTGAAAGGACATATTGGGCATTATTGATTATGAACTGTAATATTTATTTGGCGGATACTTTTACAAAATAATTTATAATATATTTTCGTAACATGTAACATCAACAAAAATAATACTCCTCATAACTTTATTCTATATTCGTGTGGACCCATCCAGTTATTCCTGTAATCATGAGCTAAATTACCGTCTTCGATAAATTTTTAGACACGAATCAAGAAATATTCCGCATCCTTTCTCGTGATAGCTGTAAAAAAACGCGCACACAATCGAGAATTTCGAACATTTCTATACTATATACATATAAGATATACTTTCAATTTACCACCAGCTGTAGAATTGTACAGGAGAGTTAACAAATGTTAAGCTATCACATTTGATATACGATTCTTATTACGATATCGTTGATATATACCGACATTTCTTTGCGAGAATACACGAATTTTTTCGTACATTTTACTGTGCAAAGCAGAGCAGTTCGTTCCATTCTGAATTAGCAGAATGTAAAATAAAAAGTTCAATGAAGAAAATGTTAATTAAATCTTTTT